TGGTTCCCGTCTGTGGCACCTCTTTAATATCAGCTGCCTCGAGGATGTGCAGTGATAAATATCTCAATCAGATTGTCAAGCAGTACAAGATCCAGAAGAAAAGGCTAAATGTACTGCACCTACACACAATCCTTGCAGCCCAAATTGTGAGAACATTAGAGAATTCATTCAAGTCTGTTTGACAAGATCTGCTTTTCTTAAACCCATGCTGACAGGTGTTAATTATCCTGAAGTCCTTTGATTCTTCATCATTTTTCAACATCTTTCCAAGGCACTGAAGTGATGCTAATCCTTAGGTTTGGGAAACATTCTCAGATGTTGTTGTGCTGGAGCCGAGGGACAGTGGGAGCTGCTGGGAAGATATGACTGATGGAGTGGTCACCCCTCCCACTTGGACTTCTACTTCAGACTTCAACAGCATCTTTGGGGTTTTCCAGCAGTGTTTCTGGATTTTGCTTTTCAAGGAGTGGACACAGTTCTGTCTTTTTTCACACGTGGGTATCTTAGCTTTTCCAGACAGAGAGATTGCTGCTTTGCTAATGGAATGTTTTGCCTTCCTGCAGCCCTTCTGCTCTGTGGCAATGTTGATGTGAGGAGGTGACACCAGGATCCTGTTGAAGGAGTGACATGTAAGCAAGCTGTCTCCATCAAGGAAAAGAAATGGCTGGCAAAATGCAGCCCTATTGCTCCTCAGGTAATCCCACACATCATGTCCATCCCAAGTATTTCCAGATCATAGAATCATAGAATCATAGAATGGTTTGGGTTGGAAGGGACCTTAAAGATCATCCAGTGCCACCCCCTGCCCTGGGCAAGGACACTTCCCACCAGACCAGGTTGCTCCAAGCCCCCTCCAACCTGGCCTTGAACCCCTCCAGGGATGGGGCAGCCACAGCTTCTCGGGGCAACCTGGGCCAGGCTCTCACCACCCTCACACCAAAGACGTTCTTCTCCAGATCTCATCTCAATCTCCCCTCTTTCAGTGTCAAACCCCTTTCCTCTCGTCCTATGGCTCCCCTCCCTGATCCAGAGTCCCTCCCCAGCTTTCCTGGAGCCCCTTGAGAGACTGGAAGGGGCTCTAAGGTCTCCCCGGAGCCTTCTCTTCTCCAGACTGAACCTCACCAACTCTCTCAGTCTGTCCTCACAGCAGAGGGCCTCCAGCCCTCGGAGTATCTCCGTGGCCTCCTCTGGCCCTGTTCCACCAGGTCCATGTCCTTTCTGTGCTGAGGACTCCAGGGCTGGATGCCGTACCCCAGGTGAAGTTTCACCAGAGCGGAGCCGAGGACAGAATCCTGCCCCCCTGCGCCCCGCTGCCCACACTTTGTCTGATGCAGCCCAGGATGTTGTTGGCTTTTTCTGGACTGCCAGTGCACGTTACCGGTTCACGTTGAGCTTCTCACACAGCAAAACCCCTAATTCCTTCCTTAGGGCTCCTCTCAACCCATTCTATGCCCAACCTGTATTTGTGCCTGGGATTGCCCTGACCCAGGGGCAGGGCCTTGCACTTGGCCTGGTTGAACCTCACGAGGTTCACATGGGGCCAGCTCTCAAGCCTGTTCAGTTTCCTCTGGATGTCATCCATTCCCTCCAGATAAAGGTCTTTCATTTGACAGAGCCTCTGCCACACCTGGTCTCGCCCTTTCTGTGTTCTCTTGCCTCTGGGTCCTCAGTGAGGATATCTGCTGGGTCATGGGGAACTACTCAGCCTGCCCCTGTCCCACCAGGCAGGTCTGCCAGGTCTGCACCATCCCCTGTTCCCCAGAGAGGGGAGGTGGGGCCTTCATCCCCATACCTTCCCCAGACATCATGGCAATGAACTGTGCCCTGCTCTGGCCAGCTGCATGCCGTCAGAGGGCAGGGACCACCGTGTCCTGCCATACAACCTGCTGCGTTACCCAGGAACAGGGCCATCAGCTGTGACAGCCTGTGCTGGGCAGGCCAAGTGCTCACCGGCTTTCATGACATCCACCAAAGTGTCCTTCCAGTCACACACACAAAGTCATACCCTGCATTGCAGGGACTGGCTGGCAGAGACCTCATCTGGGGTGGTGCCCAGGCCACTGGAGACACCTCTCTGGGCCACCACCAGAGATCCTGGAGAGATCACTTAGTAGGGCCAGTGAAGACAGCTTGAATGAAGGCTGGCTAACAGAGAGTAAGCTCTTCACCAAAGTATTGAAATCAATTACTACAGGAATTGGAAACAGTGGGATTTATTGTCCTTTGAGGTAAGAATTGGCTCTAGCTTCATCGCAGTCATCATTGGCTCTCAACACCATAAATCCTGCTGTTCTCTTCAATACCTTTTATGGGAAGTGGAGAAATTAGCTAATTCCCCATTGCTCCCTCCCCACTTATTAGTGTTACAAAGGACTGGGTAATTATGAATAGAACTGCCAGGCAAAATGAAATTTCTGCCTTAAAAAATGCATTTTAATTAGCTCTACTGGGTTCCTGTGTTTCTTGGGATGTGCTGCTTATGCCTTGCTGCCTCTGAGCTCTGCTTTTATGGAGACAGGAGACCTCAAGCACTATTCTAGCCAAAGAGCTACAAATGGGTCTTGTCTTCCCAAGGGACCTACCCTGGAAGATGATTGTCTTCTCTTGATGGTAGTGGGGTGTTACTCCTCAAAGCTTGTTTATTTAAGCTGAGCAGCAAAGCAACAGAAAGCTGTGCCTGAGGAAAGGCTGAAGAGGAGAGCCTGGGGCTTGGTGGGTGAGCGACGGGGATGCGATGACCTTTGCAGGACATGAAGGCAGTGGGGGGGACGATCCCTGGGGCGTTGGCCCTGTGACGTTATCTCAGCAGCACCCCTCCACGCTGGGAGAGAAGCAGCACCCTCCGTGCCTGCCCTCCTCCCTCCCCTCCCAGGGCTGCCCGGAGGAAGGGCGCTGATGCCGCAGCAATTCTGATTTCCAGCAACCCTTCCCAATGACCAGCTATCAAATCTTTGATGTAAGCAAATTTACCTAATGCTGAAGGCAAATTAATAGGAAAATGGAGATATAAAATCAGACATTTCCTCCACAAAAAGCAAGAGAAAAACCCTGCCGCGTTTCCCAACTAGATGTAGCAGTAAGAAACCCCAAACTCGGAGCTGGTAGAGATGAAAGTGCAGTTTCACACTCCGTGGGAGCAGTGGGTGCTGTTTAGCCCCACACACTCTGGCCTCCCTGGCACCTCTCACACCTCAGAAGAACGATGGGGAAACTACTGCGTGTGCAACGTTACCAATAGCAAAAGCAAAGCCCCTGTTGAAGCCTCCTGCACTGTGGGACATTTCACGAATCCTGGCTTGGCAATACAAGGGTTTCTAGATGGGAAATGAATCATGGTTTATGAATGCAAAATTAAAGAAGGGCAACTTTAAAATAAAACCTTACAGGCTTGCATGACAGATTTTTACAGCAAAATAGTAATGTCTCGCTTCTCCCCCTGCTATTTTCTGGCATGACAATGAAATGCAGTAAATAAATATATAAAAATAATGACTCTTCCAGACCTTGTAGCATTCATTTTAATAGATGCTATTTAACTACACACAGAAATATAGATATCTACCTTTCAAACGCTGATTACAAAGATCGGGAAGGCAGCCAAGAAAATGGCCTCTTTTTTTTTTTCCCCAACAGATATCAAAAAAGAAACAATTTGTATGTTGAAATTGCCTTTATTTTTTAATCCATAAATATTTGTTACTGACAAAAGTGGAAAAATCCTTAAGACTCTAAATTTTACTAAACTGATAATATTTTTGTTTACAGTACATACAGAATGTGCTTTTACAGGTAAGTATAACAACAAGAATAATACAGAGAAAAACAGTCAAATACTGCTCATCTTGAAGCTTGTTTAATGGTTAACCAAGAGTCTGTGCAAAGTTACAGATACAAATGTACTTCCTCTTCAGTACTACTGTATAATAAACATGGAATCCATAAACTGGGCTAAAGCACAAAAATATCCACTTAACCCCTCTTAGGAAATATTGTTCCCCAAACTAAAAATATTACAGTAAGAAGTTTCTTTCTCAGAACCAAGAAATTCTTGCTACAAAAATGTCTAACAGTTTTGCAGACAGAAAGTCAGGAGCCGTTACGAAGCACATGGGCAGAGGGTGAGGGTGGTGGGGATGGAGACCTCCCGGACATCGTGTGGTCACGGCAGAGACACAGGACGCCGCCTCGCTCGGTGCTGGGAGCTGAGATCTCTTTCAGATTTGTACGACTGTGCTCAAAGGGGATGGTCCAACTCTCCCCTTGCCTCCGGGCTGCCAGCAGGTGAGGTGAAGGTCGGTTTTCCCAGGCTTTGGGCTTGGTGAGGGCACCTCCTTGACAGCCGTGAACCAGCTCAGAGAGGCTGGGAACGGAACCTTCTACCATCCACTCACAGACATACAATACAGAAGTGGCTGTTCTCTAAGAAGCAGCCCAAACACAGGCTTATTGCTAACAACCCTTTTTATGAAAATATTTAAGCCCCTTTCTCACCTATTTTCCCTACAAACTTTTCACTCGTCTGAAATATACTTGAACAGGAAAGCTGTATGTGTTAAATATATTTCAGCAGAGTCCCTCCTTCCAGATTAAGCACTAAACCTGAAACAAAACTAAGACAAGCTATTTCTCCATCACATGAACCGAAGATGGCAAATTGATCACAATTTATAACACTTACTTCAAATACAGTTAGAGTTACCCTGTTTCATGATGATTTTGTTAGTTGTGGTGGAAGAAGACGAAGACATCTTCCCAGCTGGTTCCCCCAGGAACCACCCATCTCTTACAAAAACTTGATGCCAGGCTCTTGCAGATTCCTGGTGGGAATGCTTCTGATAGACACAAGAACAGAAATATGCATGTGGGAAGCCTGGGTTCATGGGAGCAGCTTTGCAGCCAGCCAGGCTAGCAGAACAGTAGACAGAAATCAAATCTAGGCCAGGAAAGGAGGGCTTACTCCTGGGTAACTGTCCCTGTTTCTTCCCACCCACCCACCCCCCACCCCCAAGTAACAGATCATAATTTATAAAAGGAACATTAAAACATTGAAAAATATTTCATTTTTTTTCCTTAAAACACGATTCACAGGTTAGAAGAATTTTATGACAAAATTTCTGTTCCATGTGGTAATCTGTGTGGTTCATTAAAAATAGTTTTCCACATTTCAAAGAGTGATTCAATACAGTTTGGAAGCTTAGATTGGTACAGAACTTAATGATTGCATTTTACAGTATGTATGCATATATATGTGTTTGTGTGTATATATATATACATACATGTATCATATATCTGTACTAATGAGAGGGTTGTATAAAATCCAGTGCAGCTTATTAGTATGTGTTGCAGCTTGGGGAATGCAAATAATTATCAGTTTGTAGGAAATAATATAAACTTTTCTACATCACCCTCCCCCAGTCCCTGCACATGCACTCTGGGAACTGGACGCTCCACAGATGTGTGTTTCCACCTGTGGGTTGGAGAAAAAGACAGATCAATTCTTCAGAGTATGTTAGATTATCAAGGCAGGTTACATTTTACTGTACATAGGAATGTGACTGCTTCCTGCTTTTCTCCTGAGTGCAGAATGATGTGGTGACTCAGACATAAGGAGAAGAAAGCAGAAAGGTCAAAGCAGGCAGCAGCATCCCTTAGAGCTGCGGCCTGTGAGGGACCCTGACCAGAGGGAGAGCAATGGGAATCCCAGGGGACTGCATCCCCCACCCCAGAACTCTCCTTCTGGACAGACACTGATTGCAACACATCGGACGCGATGTGGCAGGACAGCGGTGACGAACAATTATTAATAAAAATGTTTTGCTGTTCCACAGTGTCTGTTGTGAGAGAGTCTCAAAGCACTTCATAGACATTATGGTACGAACCCTCATAATGCCTCTGCAGAATAGGAAAGTGATATCATTATCATCACATGTTGACCACAGGGAACCAGAATGCTAGGGACCAGGCTGTGGATTGTGACACCCAGTCCTGGACCAAGTGTCCTTTCAGTGACAGACACTCAGGATGAGGAATAAGGGAGAAAATGACATAAGAACACCTGTGCATGCTGAAATGCCACTGCTTTAGCTACAGCCCTTTCCAGCACACAAAGCAAGCCATGAGAACACAGGGTGCCCAGGAACAAATTGTGGTCATCCAGGGCATGGTGCCCTCCCAAAGAAATTTGCTGAAAATTTTCAGTGTTGGTGGTTGGTGTTGGTTTCAGTCCCTGAAGAGTTTTGGCCTAGAAAGGCTTTTTGATGGTTCTTGAGGGACACATCTGCTTGAAACAGTTGAGTGAGTGGAAAAGATGAGGAAATGGGGCTAAGATTTCTTTGGAGGATTATTGCCCAGGTAGAACAAGTTAGCAGAGGGCCTGTGACATTTGTCAGTCAGAACAAGAGCAGGCTCTGAGGTCACATGGCCTAGAACAGAGCACAGCATCTGCGCGGGCTACTTGAGTAAAAAATTTCCATATTTGCATCTGGTCCAGCAGTTCCTTGGTTCACAAATGGAACATTTAGATGAAGACTAAAGGTTGAGACATACAGCTATGGAAACAGAAAAAGAGGAGTGTTCACCTACCCGTGGCCTCACATGGTCACCTCTGCTCCTCCACTCTGCCACCTCAACTCCTGGAGACTCTAGGGTGGGCTCTCCTCTTCCACAGTGTTCACATCTCCCTGCTTGCAGAGGGGAAGATCCTGGCTTTGCTTGGGCCAAGTGAGAATGGAAGAGCCCCAGAACCTCAGCAGGGACTGCCTGCCCATCAGCCATGTGCATTTCTCTGCTCTTCACAAGAGTCACAAACTTCAGTATGCGGGAAAGTCAGCACGGGCAACATATTTTGCAGGGATTGCCTTCTGTGAAGGAATATCCAGTGACTGAGCTGAGGAGCTTGGAGGTAGTCAGGGGAGAGAAGTGTCCATCAAGGGAAGGGGTCAGGAGATGAGGTGTGAGCCTTTTCTCTCTCATCTGCCCCATGCCATGAACTGCCACCCTGATCCATCGATAATTCTGGTTGTTGCCTGGAATGGTTTTGCCCAAGGCTGCATGGTAACAACTACTTGAACCAGGGAGACTCTTACTTATTCCTTCTCAGCTCAGTTTCCGTCAAACAAAGCCCCAGTTCTTCTCATGGGTGGAGTCCTTTCTGAACATGTCTCCATCAGATGAGGCAGAAGAAAGCTCATCAACTAGCTCCAGCAGTCCCAGGAGAGTCTGGGAAAGACCACATGGCCACCCCACTGAGGCCCTACCTCTAAATCCCGTGGGGGAAAACAGCATGCTCCTCCTGCCTATCCTGCACCAGGCAAACCTGGTGCTGCATCATAAGCCTCCAAACAAGACTCACGCTCACAGCAACCGACAATCATAGTATGCTACAGGACCAACATCTTCAGCTGGGAACATCATTAAGGCCAGGAGGTGGGAGGTATTTGAGGGGAGGGAGAAGGGGCAGAGCTAATTCAAATAAAGTTTCGTGAAAAGCCGTGTAGGAAAAGACTCAGTGTGGGAATGCAGGACATGAAGAGAGCAGTACTGTATGGGAATAAGTTTACAGCCCGAAGTCAGTCATCGTTTCACCCAGAAGAGGGAACATGCCCACTGTTTGGACTGGGACCATGGGTGTGGGTATGTGGTGGGGGCTTTGAGTGCACACCATGGGCACTGGAGAGTGTCTAGCATTGCGTCTGGTTGGCCTTCAAAACCTCTGAGACCTTCTGCTGGCCACAGAAGTATGTTCTAGTGTGAGTTAGTTCTACAGAATTTGAGAGGAATACAAATACAAGGCAAAAACAAAAACAGAACCAAAATCAACAAAAAATCAAAGCAAAGCCCAATCTGGCTAGAAAGCCAAAGGTAAAACCCTCACAAATTCTGAACCCACGAGTCTACATTTTAAAGATTTTTACAAATATACAGTATCTAATTAGCATTATATCAGATATACAACATGCCCATTTATTATAATTACGCTGGATATATATTTTATATGCATGAAATGTAACTGTCTTCATGGTTAGGATTGGTACTCAGTGGAATTGGAATTTGGAAGGTTTTTGGGGGGGGCCATTACATGGAGAGAAGATCATGGAAAGTTACCGACCTGCTTTTCGGTAGACAGACACCCTCAGCTTTGTGCTTCTGGTAAGGGCTAGAAAAAGATTTGCTACATACGGAGGTTGAGGTTGTAACTGAGAGGAGAAAATATGTTCAGAAACATGGGAAGTGGGCCAGTGGAAAGTGCTCTCAGGAAAATAAACTTCTGGAGAGAAATCCAGGCTCGATGAAATGTGTGGTAGCCTTGCCTTGCAGGGGTCTCAGCGGAGACAGGACTTCCCCCAGCACAGCTCAGCAGTGCAAAGCTGAACGGGTTCTGGTGCTTTAGGTTCAGCAGTGGGAAGAAGCTGGAGGAAGAGAAATCCTATTCCTCCTTCCTATTTACATGCTGGAGACACCAGGATACTAGCATGAGTGGAGAAAAGGGTCTAACAAGCATTTCAGCATATTTGTGCTTATTGAACACATCAACCCCACTACTTCCTACACTGAGAGAGCAGGCGATTTGTAGGCACTAGTATATTTTTATCTTATGAGTATATTTAATATAAACTAAAATTTTATTTCTCAGCCACGCTATTCTTGCCCCTAGATCTGGCAGTCCCCTAGGAAAGTCTGCCCTTGAATTTGCTCCAAGGGTGAGGAAGAACAGATGTATAGGTGCTGGCTGATCTTGAGCAGTCTGGAGGTGATCCCCAGCAGCCAGAAGCTTACGTACTTGCCACAGAAAGGCCAAACGTGAGGGTTGGCATGAGGAGTGAGCACGGGACCCCTTCCTACCAGGATGGGGTGCTGCATTTCCTCCTCCCTGTCTTGGGCTGCTTGAGACTGCTTCTGCTTGTTGCAACTGAAAAGTCCTGAATTCATAAAAACAATGAGATGATGAAGGTGAGCCCTTGGAAGGAGCCATCTACTACTATGGCTTTCTTTGACAGAAACTGATACATGTCAGGAAATTTCCTCTATTATCCCTCACTGTCATCTGTTTTGCTTGCTTGGGTTCTTCTTACGTCACCAATGAAGGGGTGGCTTTAAAAACAACAACGTGGATGGGACTGTCAGAGAAGTCTTTTCAGACACTGAGTTATTAGAGGTTATCTTGGCCTATAAGGCCACTGCAGTATGGGGTGCTGTGGCCACCCAAGTCCTTAATGAGTATCTACAATGCACGAGGTCATATCAAACAGTCACCTCTGTTTTGCTCGCTGTGCGGTAGTGGTGGTGGTGTCCTGGAATATAATGCAGTTGTTCTACCGTGTGCGTTCGTCGGGAGGCGAACGCCTGGCGCTTGGCAGAGGTTGGGTTCATACCTAAGGTATTGTACAAGTTATTTGAGGCACTAGGATGGGAGTGCATTTTTGTCATCCTGTAGCGATCCAAGACGGGTGTTGATACAAAGACGTCTGTGTGTGACAATGCCCGCGACATAGACTGCTCGGGGTACCCCGACCGCTCTGGGGAGAGCAGGGGGTCTTGGGAGTGGAGGCGCTCTGCGGACAGAAGCTGCTCGTCTGAGAGGATCCGTTCATAGGACATGCTAAACTCCTCGGGCATGATCCTCTCAGGAGACAGCACTCTGTCCTGGGACATGGCCCTGATGGGACGGCGAGGCCTGTCCCTGTGGTTGGTCTGTTGAGACATTTTGATGACGTTGATAGGGAGTGTGCCCCGGGCTGCCAGGTCGGGCAGGTGTCTCCTCCTCATGTAGTATTCATCAGCCTCTTTGTCAGCTGTGGGAAAGGAAAGAGAACAGTTAGATGTGTCAGAGTGTTGTCCCATGGGGTGAAAAGGGGCTGAGTACAGCACACAGCCTCAAAGCAGCCTCCTGGTGAGACCCAAGGGACCATCTACCAGCAGCTGGACCTGGGTATGGACATCCACATCAGGGTGCTGCCTTGCCAGAGAGACGTCAGCCCCGTGTGGGTTGTGTCACCATGGGCTTATGGCAGACAGAGAGTTATAATTGCATGCAGACAGGTACAATCCATCTGCAATGCATCACACCTTCTCGCACCATGACCCAACAGACTCCATACACTGTCAAGACCAGATAGATCATGGTATCGTGTGATTTACACAAACAGCAAGTTAAGGAGAAATTACCAAATGTCACTGTCACAATACACTCATAATGCCCAGAGAAGGTGAGCTGAGGCAGGCAAGTTCCCCTTTTGAGGAAACTCATTCCTTGTTTCTGACCTCAGATGTGGATATGCTCTGGAATCCAGAAGTCCCCTCATCATATTTTTAATTACTATTTTTGAATATTTGTAAATGTGATCACAAAGCAGGTTTGGTGGGCATGGAATGCTCTCTCCAAGACACTGAATCATCTGCTTAAGGGTTCCTTTTCCACTTTTTCAGACACGTTGGTTGTTATTATAGAATTTATCCCATGGAATGTTTCTTTCTCAGTTTGCTGTTTCTGTGTCTTAAACAATCTCTTTGATGCACAGGAACTCAGCACAAACATACACATACCCACCCTCTTCCTCTTCACTTTCGAATAAATGCCTCAGACTCAGAGAGGATGTTGGCTGCTGCAGGTGTACCCTGATATATCACTTTAATCCTACAGCAGCTGAAATGATCTGGTTCAACCAACTTGTAATTTGAAGAACTTTCTGGTAACCCCCTTTGATGTTGTTGATGCCTTAAAGTGGGCTACTGTGATTACCTACCTGGCAGGAGGATGAGCAGTCCCTGTGCTTCAAGCCCAGTGCAGCTTGTGAACTGTCATGATGTACCTGTTGCTGTAGTGGTGTAAAGCACGGACCATCAGTCCCTTACCAGAAGTCTACTGTCACAAATGGAAGAATATAATGCTGCCCTCCATGGAATGGAAGCATGTTCAAAGCTCAGCACTGATTATCTGCATGACCCCTTCTCCTCCTCCTCTTTTTTTTTTTTTGTCTGAAATGTTTTCTTGACATTTCCAAAAATGTCCCATTCTTTCTGGCTCATCAGTGACTTCAGAAGACCCCAGAGTGAGACTCATCCCAGATGCCTGGCAAGCACTCATCCTCTCCCTGGAGAAGACAGCACAACACCCACTGGTCTGCAGGAAGGGGTTTCTTCATGCAAAGGTAAAGCAAATTTCTCCACCTTACAGAGGAAACAAGGTCTCTTTCAAAATGACCTCATGGGACCAGCCCGGCATAGAGACTACAGAGCTGGAAACACACACACAAACTAAGAAATCCTTTAGCTACAAATCTTGAGCCAAGCGTTGATGGGCAAAGACATAATTTCCTATATATCCTGGCCAGCTTCTGGGATGTCATAAAATTCCTTTGGAAAGTCTCTTGCTTATAAGCCAAGCACGATAAAGATTTCTGGTAATAAAGATTTCTAGTGGTAATAAAGAGGAACGGAATTGATTTTCTCAGCTCCAGTATTTTGTTCAGTAGTAGGTGTTGTAAGATAGGAAAGTATCAGAGGGTGGAAGAGGAAAATTTCACATACATGGAATTTCTGAGGAAGTTTAAGTGAATGTAAAGCTCTACTGCAGATAGTATGGGCATTCATGATGTGGGTGAGATATATGGTCCCACTTTGGATTCTTAGAGTGTCTGTAGGCATTCAACAGACCTAGAGGTTAAATATGGCATGGAAATTTCCTATTTCCTCTGATGTAGCCATAACTCTATAGGTTTTATGCACCACATTGGCTGAGAAATAAAGACAATTGGCCGGCTGTCCCATGAGGCAGTGTGCTTTCTGAAGAAATGTCAATGCCTTATGATACATGATTGGTGCTGACAACACCCCAGGAGTTTTCTCACAAGATAAGAGTTAAACACTGGGACCTTAAGTTCTTCAGCCAACCCCTGGAGTGCTGTAAGCATCCCGTGCTGGATGATCTCACCCACGAATTTTCTCATCTCCTCTCCCACACATTCAGCAATGCCCCTGGGACCCTGCTCTTCATGGTCCTGCGAACAGTCCACATAATCCAGAGGACCCGTGAGGAGGGTGGTGGATCCCCATGTCTCAGCATCCAAAAATACAAGGTGAGAGCACGTGTGCTGAAATCCATGGCCTGTTGGTACCTCTGTTGCTGACAAGCTCTTTATAGCCTATACACCACCAAGGCATGAGGGTTGCCCAGAGATCTCCTCCACTGGCATGCTTGCTGCTGGTGGGATTTACTCTCCAGAGTATATATTGTAGGAATTAGTGTTTGGTTTTTTTCAATCAAAATCTTCTTGGAAGAGTATGCAATTGCAAATGTCAAACAGCAGCTCCCCTGGCCTCAAACTCTTCTGCCTTTAAAATCACCTTCTAGAAAGCCTGAGAAGGACTGGGGAAATTCCATAGAGCAAGAGCGATTTTAGACATTTGTATTCTATAATGTGGCCATAGATAGACTTGCACACACTTAGTGTGCACAGGCTTGATAATGATGCTTGAGGCTGGGCATAGAATTGGAGCTAAGCAATTAGTGCTCTGGCACTTGGTCTCTGCTCTGGATGAGAGAAGTTCCACTGGATTTGCCCAAGTGACTCTCAATAGATGTAATTAAAGCAGAGAACATCCCAAATGGAGATGTGCTTGGATGCTCACACCTGGCTGTGGTAATTGCCAGCAGGAGCTAAACCAGCTTATGGGAGGTTTACAGTGGTCTGGGTCTGCTGGTGAGACAGCAGAGTCAGATGATTAAAAGTGGTTTGAAGTTGTTCCTTGCTAATTTGGATAAAAAAAATGCAGCATGCTCTACGCTTTAAAAGTTTTGCCAATTAGGAGCATTAAAAATATCCTTTCCTTCCCTCTTCCACCCATGTAAGCAGTGTAGAAGCCTGCATGGCCTTTAGCTGGCAGTTGCTGAACCATTCAGGGAACTGATTTCATTTCAAAGGTGTTTCTAAGCTGGGGCAGGCTGTCTCCTCCCGTGATACTGAGAGACACGCTTAGATGTTGGCACAGCTATTCTGAGAACATTTTCAGGTGTAGACAAACTTCGCATCTCCATCTTAAAGGGATCAAAGCCAAAAGGGTAGTTTCCTGTGAACAACAGGCACCAGACAGACATTTAACAGGCTGTTGCCTCTGAAAGGTGGTGTCAGTTCATGAGTGTCGCTGGACCAGCCATGGAGCACATTGCTGGATAACAGGTTGAGCATGCTGTATCACACTCGTTTCTTCACACCAAGAAGCTCAGCACAGCTCTGTAACTGCAGCTTTTCTGGGGAAAGCAGTGACACAAATACAGCTCCAGGCTTTTGGGACTGGAGGCAGCGGGTGCTTCACCCAGTGGGTGGAGGTGGGAACTGTGGAAATCTGGTTGCACAGTTTGTTAGAATCAAAATGTCTCCAGGACCTGGAACCATCCAGTCTGATTCATCTCCTCTGCACTGCACCAGCCAGTTCCCTGGGACGGTGACACTGCCACCCCTTATCTTCCCATTGAGCCTCATGTGAAAGATGACATTTGTGATTTTAGCCAAAATGAAATTACAATCAAATAGGTTTCTCCCTCATGGGTGTGCTTCAAAATTCAAAAATGTGTCCTAAGTGGATTTCAAAAGGCCATAATTGATGAGCCGTCAGAAAGAAATCACTGGTCTATTGATTGACAGATATTTCTCTTTTTTTTTAAGCCAATCTCATACTTCTGGGGTTTCACTAATCTTTTTCAAACACATGGAAGCAGAATTACTGGAAATCACAATTACTGCAGGTATTTTTGTTGATTTTTTTATTTTCTTTCCCCACTCCCCCTTTCTTTCCTCCTTTGGCAGTTTCTGGAACATTGATCATAGAATCATAGAATCATAGAATGGTTTGGGTTGGAAGGGACCTCAAAGATCGAGTTCCAACCCCCCTGCCCTGGGCAGGGACACCCCTACTAGAGCAGGTTGCCCAAAGCCCCATCCAGCCTGGCCTTGAACCCCTCCAGGGATGGGGCATCCACGACCTCCCTGGGCAACTTGTGCCAGTGTCTCACCACCCTCACAGTAAATAATTTCTTGCTAGTATCTAGTCTAAATCTCCCCTCTTCCAGTTTAAAACCATTACCCCTTGTGCTATCACTACATTTCCTGACAAAGAGTCCCTCCCCAGCTCTCCTGTAGCTCCCTTCAGATATTGAAAGGCTGCTGTAAGGTACCCTGAGAGCCTTCTCTTCTCCAGGCTGAACAAGCCCAGCTCTCTCAGCCTGTCTTCACAGCAGAGGTGCTCCATCCCTCTGATCATCTTCGTGGCCCTCCGCTGGACCCGTTCCACCAGGTCCATGTCCTGTCTGTGCTGAGGACTCCAAAGCTGGACACAGAGCTCCAGGTGGGGTCTCATGAGCACAGAGCAGAGGGGCAGAATCACCTCCCGTGACCTGCTGGCCACACTTCTCTTGATGCAGCCAGTTGACTGGGGCTGGTCTCACCAAACTTCAGGAGTGCTTGAGTTCTTCATCTGACTTGGCTTTAGGAAAGCTGATTTGCCCTCGGGCAGTTTTTTTTTCCCCCTCCTATTTGGAGGGAGAGCCCCAAATGAGTGCTTTTACTGGCACATCTCACCTCAACACCTCTAAGAAACCATCCAGAAAGGCAGAGTACAACTCCTCCATGGTTCTATGTTAACATGGTTAAAATATGTGTGTATATGTGTATGCATGTAAAGCCATCGTAGTTTCTCTGGTTTTAATTGTCCTTAACATTTTTAAGTTGCCTAGTCATTTGTGATGATTCTTTAGCCAATACCAAGTGCTTTAATATGCCTTAAAATATTCGTTTCCTTCCTGACTGACCTTTCTTACTAAGCTGGAAGCAGCAGTTCCCTGGAGTGCTGGGAAGGACAGGATGAATACGGCTGCTCCTGCTCAGCCCTGTGTTCCCACAGCCACCCACCACCACTCCAGCCTGACGGGCTGCTAGGGCAGAGCTGGCACAGAGCTTCCCACAGAGAGGGCTCCCTGCTCCTCAGAAATCCTCCTGCCACGTGGGTTTTCTGTGGGCTGTGCTCTGAAGTAAGAGGAAAACAGCTGTGGAAGCAGAAAGCTCACTGCTTCCATGGGACCTGGCTCTGAGTGGCTTCTGTGCAGCATACAACCTCTTTCCTAATGCTCTATAAAAGACCTGGATTATCTCCAAGCCCTTGTTCTGGAAGGAGAAGGAGCTGTGGTGCTGCTTCCTCAGTCAAACGCCAGCAGAAGTGAGTGCCTGCCCTGCAAATCCAGCAGTGAGGAGCTCCCCTGCCCGAGCTGGACATTCCCCAGGGACACACGAGGATGGGCAGAAGGTACGACTCATCTCATCCTTCTTGCCCAAATCACTTAGATGAGTCTCCTAGAGTGGGATGTACTTCAATAAGCTCTAGGCATCAAAAGTTAGGCTTGTTATCCAGCAACTTCGGTGTCAATGAGAGACTGGGACCTTCAGTGTTCCTTATAACGTGGAGATGACTGTCCTTCTCCTGATGACAGAGGTGTCTGAACAAAGACACAGAAGGCCTGAGTGCTGGATGGCTAAAGTAGGGTGAGGTGGATCTGACTATACCCTTGCCGAGTTCTCTCTCCTCATCTCTGGATACTAAATACTCTTTCTTCCTGGATGTGCCTTGATTATTCAATTTAGATGCTCTTGGGCAGAAACTGTTTTTCAGTATTTGTCTCTGCTAACTGTGGGAAAACAAGTGGCCTTTAGCTGTCTGGCAAGCCTGAAGAAATCCAGACAAATAACTGAAACACCAATTTAAAAAGTATCCAAAACCTTTTGTTTTACTGGAATAGGAATACTATGTTTGTTAATGAGCTCTTCAGAATATTCTTTTTTTTTTTTTTTTTTTTGACACTTGTTCTTTACCCTAAAATGACCCCTTTGTAGCTTGGATCAAAGAGCTGGGAGTGTCAATACCAGTGTCTTCATGAACATGTTAAGAACCTCAAAGTAATTGGTAACCAATTAGCATAAAGCTAAAAAAACCCACCTAGCTAAGGCAAACCCTAAATGAGTACTATTTTTTTTTTTTTTTTTTTTTAATCCATGGCAGGGAATTCATTAGAAACAAGTAATTTTAAATCTGAAAAATAAACACCCACATAATTCTTTTGCAAATTCAGCATTGGCTGGAAAGGTCTAGAAGCTGGGTGCCTGTTTTTCTTTGCCTTCAGAGGAGACCATCTATAAGAAAGTGATTCAGTGATTTTAGAGGTGCTGAGAATATGCAAGAGCAGTGGGAGCATGGAGTGCTTAGCACTTTCAGAGCTGAAACTGCTTATTTAGTTACTCAAACATAGAGGGTGTTGGCATTTGTTAGGTGCCTTGCAAGAGATGACTGGACTGTGTCCAGACCTGCCATCGATGGATACATATCTGCTACTCCATTGCAGTGTGCAGAGATTCCTTCCTAGGGCCAATGCTGCTGGAAAACAGGGGGTGAATGACCCTCCCTCAGGCCAATGGCCAAAGACTGACTCACATGTTTTTAGATTCACGTGAACTGCCAGGTATCCTCTGAATGGGGACAGATAAAACAGCTGTCCAGAAGATCAGGAAAAGAGGAAAAGAGGGAGACTGCTCATGCTCAGCACACTCTTGAAGGCATTTAAGCTTGGCACCTCAACACAAGTCTATTTTTGTCATTTTAGACAAATATCTAGGAAATACAGTGCTAGAGTTCAATACGTATTCCCTTCTGCTGAGGGGCAGGTTGGACAGATAGGATCCTGCAAAATTTTCTGCATGCAACATGTCAGGCCAATAAGACACCACTTAGCATTGCTCAGTGCAGGGATGGCGTTGCTTGGGGTGAGTGAATTTATACTCAGTGTGAATCAAGTCAGCATTGTAGATGTAGGTAGAGGATGGTGTTCAAATCTGACATACAACTCCAGGTGCTGGCTGTGGAAGGGGTGGGAGTTTCAGTTAACATTCATTTGTGTTTTTTTAATGCTTCAGTGAGATACATCAGTCACTTTAACATAGAGCTCAAGGAGATTTCACTGAGCATTTATGCAATAAACGAACCACAGGCTGGAAGAGGTCTTGACCATCTCCTGCATTACCACAGGAGCATCCATTGTTGCTGTTCCTGGTGAGCACTTCTCTAACCAATCTCAGTGACACCAGGACAGAGATCCCCCACAGACTCTGTATCCCAGGTAATCCCAGGCACTGCAAATCAATGACAAGTGAAGCAGCAGTTTTGGGGGCTATCTAGGGGGTAACATTTTTATACCAATGAATTTTCATTTCAGCTGAGAAATGAAAACAAATCATCACCCCAAAATGGGGACATTTTATAGGAGTCGTATTGCAATGTTATGATTTCAAGGGTTTTCCAGTATTATCAAAGTATCATCAAAGCTGCTCAAGAACATGGGCAGTTCATCACCGGGCTGTGGTGAGGAATAATGTTTGTGGTTGAGTGTGAGATCCAGGTGTTACCGAGGAACAAAGCTCGTGGCAGAAGCAGAGTTGTGTGCGTGGTGTGCTGAAGAGGGAAGATGGCAGGCTCCAATCACAAAATACCTCATCTCTGCTCTCCAACATGGTTAAGCACATGCTTGCTTTTAAGTACATCAAATATATTTGCCTTAATGTTAAACATGTACATGAGTCCCGCACTGAAGTGCCAAGGAGTGGGATGAGATTTGTTATGTACTACATTTCCATTCCATTTTATTTTCTGGAAAATCTTCCACACAGAGATTTGGTATGGACAGTTCAAAGGCATTCCTGCCACTTAATTTGGTGTGTCTCACTTAGCTGGCTAAACTGAGAACACAGATTTCATACAGAATAAGGAAGTAGGATCTGCTCCTCCTCCTCACCTACCTCCAATGAAGCTAATGCAAGTACAAACACCTAAGTTATTTCTCTAAATTAGACAATGTGAATACGTGGCTGCATCCAGAAAATGCTCATACTACAAACCTACTACAAACCTAGTGTATGAATCTGGAGAGAGCATTTGCCTACACAAATACCACTTATTTCATAATCCCACCAAAGCTGAAGAGTTTGCCATCAGTAAAGTTGATGGGCTGGAGCATTAACAGAGAAGTTGGAAGAACAACACAATACATAAACCAGAGCAGTCACTAACTGTTGTGAACAGGGCATTGAGCAACATTCTGAAATATAAGAGACACACTGAATCAGTGCAGGGCGTGGGGCAGGACCAGATCCGGACATGTACACCATGAAATGTGGCAGACCACAGCACTGCTCAAGGCAGGCTGATGTTCTACTGAAACAGATGCTCCCAACCATTTCAGCAGCTTTCTGTTGGCCTGAGTTTGTCATCTGGTTCCAGCTACCCCCACGGGTGGTGAAATATCTGCCCTGGGTACGCCAAGGCGAGCTCAGCTGATCTGAGGCAGCTAGTTTGGCTCATCTTGGCTCCAGCAGAAATAAAAAGGATTCTCTAGTGACTCAGGAGCAGATACAAGGTGGAGCCGTGGGAGGCAGCACAGCAAGGACATCAGTAAGCAAATAATCACATGTGCTCTCACAGTAATGAAGTGACTCTTTCTCTGTGCTCTTCCTTGATGGGAAGCGGCAGTCAAAAGAGTCATTACCGGAGATGCCAACTTGGGCAGTACAATGACAGAGAGAGGAAGATTATTGCCTTAACATTGTGCCCACTGTGGCTTACAAGCCAATGAGATACAAAAGAAATTGAATGAGCTGACACCTACTTAGTCTCTTCAGAGAAGAATATTTACTTGGGTTTGTCTTGACAGCAGACTCGTAGGATGGTGGGAGGTGAGAGAGGTTCTGGAAGGACCGGGAGAAGGACAGATCGTAGGGTTCGGTGGCAGAAGTGAGGATGTTGTTCATTCGCGGCTTGTCTGGAAAAAAGGAAGAACAACAGAGAAAGGCATGTCCACAGTGTGCACAAAACAAGTTGAGAGAGTTAAGTCGTTCCCCCAGAATCTGCCAGGGACAAGAGCTGTATCTGAGCCAGCCTCAGTGACAAGCCATTGGACCTAATTCAAACTGGTGCTGCCAGACCAGTCAAAAATGATTCCTGTGGTGTCGTTTCCTTGTCTACAGCGATTACGGAGAGAAGCAAACTGCTGCCTGGAAAGCACATAGATGAATCAGGCCTCCTGACAGCAGGACAGAGAGTCTGGTGGAATGTGAGTCCCCTCAATTACTGTGGAGGGCTGTCACAGTGCTGTGGACTGACCCTACTGCAGCCTGCAGGAGCTTGGGCAGCATCATCTACCTTCACCCTAGCAAGCTGTGCTTTCCCCACCCTCTAAGCCATGGGAATGGGCCTATGGGGTTATTTTAAATGGAGCTAATAATCAAATTGCTCTCTCAGCATGCCAGTGTTCTGATTAATGCTCTGAACCTGGAGGCTCCTGGGCCTTTCATGGTCCCACGGGTTCTGGTGGGCTCTAGAGATGGCCGTGCTTCCCATGCACACAGGTAAGTGGGAAGTGGAGCTGTAGGGTGTACATCTTGGTGCCAACAGAAGACAAGGTAAGGTTTGGAGAGGTTCCTGAAGCAGGAAAGGAGGGGGGCCGTCCTTGAAGCATGGAAAATGTCCTCTAATTTTTTTCACTTTGTTGGTCACTGAGAGAGTCCCCAGCCAGTGTCAAAATGCCCACTGCCAGCATGGTAATACTGAGGACACTGTCAATAAAGATTAGCCCTGAGCCTGGATGTTAAAAGTCAAGTCCAGACAATCTGCAGAGTTTGTCTGGTGTTGAAATCAAGGTCCTTTGCTACAGGCTGGATGGAAAATGGTTCTTCATCAGCTCAGCCAAGGGGCAGGGACCTGTTGAATTGTGTTTATAACTCCCAGGTGTTCAGGTATTATAATAGGCAGAGATAAGAGTATTAAAAATAGTAGGAGCTTCAATTATTAGGAGCAAAGCTAGAACAGACTACAGTGGGCTCTGTGGGAGCTTGCAGCAGTGGTAGGATTGCATTAACGGAGCCAAACGGCTAAGGAGGCCACTTCAGGCATGGAGTGAACATGAAATCAGAAGGCCAAGTTCTCTAGTACAGCTGACTCATGGCAGAATGCCCAAGTCTTGGGTTCCCACATTACTGTTTTCCACCCCTCTAAAATGTGGTCATGAAGAGCAATGCAACATGTACTCAGTACACACTTGTGGACGCTTGTACCTCCTCCAAACCATGGACTGGTTGTGATGATAGCACAGGTTCTACCCAAAAGTAACTGAGTGGCAGGGGAATTTCACCTTGACATTTGTGCAGTGTCCAAACATTCGCTACACTGCTTCGTCTCCCACAAAAATTTTAAACAAAATCCACCCAAGTAGAGTGCAGACTCTACTTTCAGAAAAGATTTTTCTAGAGTCACAAGTTAACCTGTTTCCTACCAAAAAAAAAATTTGCAGGAGTCAGGCCACTTCCTCCCCTGCTGCCTTTCTCCTGCTGCCTGACTCCTGTTTGAGTCAAACCGCAGAACAGCATTCTCCTTTCTGGGCACTTACATTTCACCACGTCCTTGGTGATCTCTGTTCCCCAGAAATGGCCCCAGTAGCTCCCATGCATGTCTGAGCGTGGGGATGCAGAGCTGTCTCCACAGTTTTCCTTACTGTGACTTTCCCAAGACATTTGAAACCTTCTGTCACTTACCCCTCACGTTGTACACATGCTTCTCAGTCAAAGACAGGCTGAGACAGTCTTGTCTCCTGGCACAAACCTGCCTAAGATTTCTTAAAGCCAGCATGGTCAGAACACTCCTCTGCAGCTCTCAGTAGAGCTATGTGCCCAGTGCTCAATTCAGAGGCACCTGATTCATTTGGGATACGCCAGTGTACCTGAGACGTTCACAACGGGCTGGAAGAAGTGATGTGGCACCCAGCAGAGACTTGATGCCACTCATGTTTAGACACTTGAATTGCAACCACCATGTCAAGAAAGCCAACCCTTGCTCCTTTCTGCCCCTTTTATCAGCAATTCTGTGCACTCTGCTGCTCCATGAGCTTCCTCGCGATGAAGTTTCCTGCAGAAAGAATCACAGCAGCGTGCTCTTCCCCAGCTATGTCCAAGGTATGACCCGCGGGTGGAGGAACAGCTTCCCTTCTCCTTCACCACCAGTCTGGCACCAGCACGGGATACCCTGTCTTGTGCCGTCCTCCACCGCTGCTAGCAAAGCAAGGTGAGAGGAAGAAAACCTCTCTGGCAGCAACAGGGGCCTGGCACATTTCAGCAAGACCCACATGCTGTCCTCTGGCTCAACAGCAGAGCCAGTGTCGGCCACCTCACAGCAAAGGAACAGCACAGCTCTCTGCCAGAGCATTGTTTTGTTCCCAGTTCTCAGAAATTACAAGGCATTTTCTCATGGAATTTAGCAACAGTGAAAATTTCCTCTTAAAAATGCAATAACCATCTCGGTTAATAAACTCTTCTTTCGTATTGTTTATGTACATCTCTGCGCTCCTGGAATGGGGTTATTGTCTGGCAAAAGGAATATAGCCCCAAGTGAGCATATAGCTCATGTGTCATCTCTCTGAGAACATTATTTTCTTGTTGATGACTTCAATCCATGTCTAATAGACTGACTACAGGATTAGGCAGTGCATCATATTCATCAGGGTGCTGGAAACAATTGATTAGATATTATCCAGTAAACAGAGACTGTATCAGCATTGAAACTATGTCCCCACTCTTATTTGTGCTTGTGTGGCAAGGACCCTGGGGTAACATCTCTTTGCAAATTTCTCAGCCAGAACCTGTATCTAATCTCCATTTTGCATGGAGGTTTGGACATGCTGAAATAAGCCCTGTCATATGTATGGAATTTGTGTTCAGTGCCAAAGCAGGAGCATTAATTGACTGCTTGCATGAGGTGTGTGAAATCAAGTGCCACACATTTATCCAGATGGGCTTGTGCTTTTTCCATCCAGTCAGTCAGGAAAAAACCATAATGGTTTTGGTAAATTAGAAGTCACCTTGAAATTCACTACCCATCATTCAGCAAAATGAGGGATAAACTGAAATGACCAAAGATAATTTCAGATGTCTTTTGCATAATGTACTTTGAGGGCAAGATCAGAGAACTGAGAGACTCTGCTAAGGAGAATTATCTTTTACAATTAATATTCTGGGACCACTTCAGTGGAGGTTTCTCAGTAATTCTTCACTTATGCAATATATTTGAGTCACGCTGTTCTCTGGTCTCTCTCCTTTTTGTTTGAGGTGTTTGTTGGCTCCTATGGAAGATGCAGGAGAATTAATTAACAGGATGGAAATAAGAAGGTCTCCCTATTCCCTGCAAGGCAGCTGAAATTGTACATTGCTCTGCTCCCCAACATTCCCAGTCATTCCAGTCCAGCTCTACATACTGGGAAATGGGAGATGACCACTGGGAAATGGAAATGTCCCATGGTTACTGGGATTGCCTTTGAAAGTCAGTACTAGTGCACTTTTTCCTCACCACCTCCCTGCAGCCACGTGCCATTTTATGCCTCCCTGACACATCACGCATTTGGGGCACAATTCACAAAGCTGCAAATTTGCAGAGGAACGTGGAGGAAACAAAGCTCACCCAGTGCATAGCACACACATCAGAGACGGGAACATCATCCAGCAGTGTCATCTCTCTTGGGTTCTGAATTATCTATGCTGCAGCACTGAAGCAACCACACCTTTTTGCAGCCGATGCAACATCTTAAAATTCTGCCAGCGTCTCTTTGATTAATTCAGCAGAAGAGGGCTCAGCTCTGCAGCATTTCCTCATCTCCTGAGCATCAGCGGTCTCACAGTATTCTGACCGCATTACTCCAGCCACTGGCAGGGCTGGAAGGATGGCACATCACTGCCAAAAGCTCATGAGGCTGCATGATGCTGGCATGATAAGCTCAGGAAGGGAGCAGTCATCTCTGTGGAGAAAGACTCTTCCTTTGCAGCTCTAATCTCTCTTCTTGGACCCCTACCAAGCAAGAACTGTGCATTTCTTCTGCTTTGTGAACCAGAATTGTTGGCCCAGTCCAAACCCTATTGTATTTCCCTGAGAACTGTGTGGATTCATGGGCCAGGCTCAGAAGAGCTCCCCTGATCCATTCAGACAAGGCTCTTGAATAAAATCTTGGGAAGGTGCTGCCCTGGAGCAGTCTCCACATCCAAAGGACCAGGAGCACTGCCTGCAAGCATGGACTGCCAGAGGAACATGGTTCCTGCTGCATCCCATATCCTAAAAAGGATATATGGTCTGTGGTTGACATGTCACCCACATGGGAAGGAAAGAAAGTCACTCTAAGTTGAGCAAGAGCCTCATTTGTTGTCCGGGCTTTGCAAACTTTCTGCAAGTTTTCAGAAGCTGTTTGAGGATTCCTAACACTGGAGACTTGTGTTGTGAAAATTAGACCTGAAGTCTTCTTGAAGTGTCTTTCTCTGCCCCTGTTCTTAGAAGACAGTTTCTGTTTCAAAGCGTGTTTACATGCAGCACAAAACCTTTCATGTACAAGGACAGGAGCAGATGATACCCAAGAAAAAAAATCAAATTGAATTTATGGCAAAGTTTTAAACAAAGCTCAAGTGGCAAAAGGGATGTGCTCCATATTTGCATACGAGTCTGCACATATGTTGTGTGAATTTTGCAAGACATTTCAACAGACGCCTTTTAAAACATTCACCCAGAGAAAGCAAACAATGTCACCTAGGAGAAGCTGATACAACCAAGCCTTCTGCTGCTCAGCTTCAGCTCAGCATAGCTTCAGTCCTCTGTCAAAGCACACATTGCTTCCCCAGCACTGCCTTCTGCTCAGTCCTTTGAAGGCTCAGATGCAAAGTCCTCTCTGGTTCTGACGCGAGCTCTTACAAAGGACCACGTTCCTCAGGAAAATCTGGTGGTAGCTGATGGCGT